TTTGGGATAATTAAATTCATATGTATATCAAATATACATATCTTAACTTTAGATATATTTTAGTAGCGTACAACAAATTGTACATCTTTGCTCATTTCAATCCTAGGGTGTGACCCTGTAGGTTCTTGTAACGTTAGTAGTAATTATTAGAACAATTCTAAAATTACATACAATGAGTGACATCTAGCAATATATCATTTTCACCTAAGTTACAAGAAAATATGATTCGACATATCATCTTGGTGATTAACTCTTTTATGTATTACATCCTTATGTCCTTTATATCTAGAATAGGAACAAGTCTTGGAATAGTCACACTTGTATAGCCCATCTATTGTTTCTTGATATCTAGAGTAGACTTTAATTAACGAATAGTTTGTGATATCTCATATCAACTTATTCGAGCATGGCCATGCATTTCTAGTCTCACTCAATCAAGTGGCCTGTGATATATTTCCTATTATGTAGAAAGGACAAATCCTATCTTAATCATACACACCCACTACATATATTAAGATATATTCAATAACAGTCTTTATAGAGCAACCAGTTACGGAGCTTGTTTAACTGCATCAAAACTTACAACAATATATGTTGTGATAGTATTGATCTCAAGTCTGAAGATCATACATGTGGTTATCACCATGAGCAATGTTATGACTATCACATAATAATCCAAGACATATGCTCATGGTCGGTCAATCCAATACATTGTTCTCTAACAATATAATCATGTATCAATTCTGACATCTCTATGTCAATGACAACTCGTTGTCATCAATCAATAACATGTTAGTCTTAAGAGTATTATTATTGTCCATGCCCATAGTAATACTTGACTAGGGATCTTTTAATAATAACAATTATGTCATTACATGGACTTTATTATCTTCCAGTTTATGTTAAACATATATATATATAACTGAAAATAACAGCGGCAATGCCTTTATTCAATAAAATCAGTTAATAAAAGTATTATTACAATCATCATATGATTGGTCTTTGGGCATTCTCTAACATTGACCCCCTTTATCTTTTAAAGAGGTTGAAGATGATGATGAACAAAGAGCCTAAATCAATGTCTTTTTGATTTCAACAAAGAATGTATTCTCTTGTATAACTTTTATTTTGCATCAATGTACTGAATAGAGAAATGCCTTGTATATATGAGATGGGAGATTGTTCTTATATAGAAAATGCAGCGTTTTGCTCTTTCATGGCAATGAACACGCAACTAAAGTCATTGTTTTGGGGTAAATTACAATTTTCTTCTCACTTCTATTTAATCACTAGAGAGTTTTAATTTTTTAATTTAATCACTAAAATTTTAAATTACTCTTATTTTGTTTAGTCAATCTTTTATCTCTCCATGTGTTGACTTAGCTTTTTCTATTAACTTTTGAGTCATATAAGCACCAACTCAGATTTTGACCACTACTCATTGCGATCGATCATCGCATTAATCGTTGTCGTCGACAGTTGTTATGCCCAAAATGTTTAGATCCTCTTGTTGTGATCCTTGAGTCTAAATTCACATTTGTTTCACTTGAATCAATTATCTCAACTCGAACAGTTACCTCTCAACTTGTATTATAATACAAATCACTAGAAGCCAATTTGATTTTATTATCATCGATATTTGATTTTTTTAAAATCAAAGTAAGATGTATTAACCAAAATTTTATTTAAACTCGGCCATTATACGACAAACAATCCTACATGAGTATGATTTAGAATCCCAAATATGTGAAAACTAATGAAAACCCGAGTATATACTCGTATGACAGATAAAATCGTATTTGACACTGACTTGAAGAAAAATGTAAAATGTATGAAAAGGTCCAAATCTTTGGTACGTGGACAAAGTAACCTTGCATCACAAGTGAATTTTAGTCCTACACAACTTTGGTATCTGGACTTGGAGTGATTTTTTTTATTTGATAATTCAGGGGTAAATATAAGGGATAATAACAATCCTTTAACTACTAAGTTAATATCTGGACTTGGAGTGATTTTTAGATACATGTACCCAATACGGATATCATTATAATTTCTTTTCTAAATATTTCCATGTTTTTAGAGAATCCATGAAAATTATACTCCCACGTACGCTTGTCGGACACAAATGCATATTAAGAATGCTTAAAAAATCCAAAAAATATAATTATAATATAGAATAAGTAATCTAATACTTGAATTTCAAAGATTTTTAATTGTCATCTTCATATCCATACGTTGAACGCAAGTGTCGAACATAGATACCTCAAAAAATAAAATAAAAAACCCCGAAAATCATAGGTATATTATAAATTGAGTATTTTAACACTTTTACATTTTATGTTGGTGCGAACAAGTAAAATTGATAGCAATGTTAATGATAAATCATCCAAATGCTAATTTTGTACTTCATTAATATTGTTATAATTTTACTTGTCTATAAAATGACTAAATCATCTCACTAATTGCACTTTTGACCATAGTTGAAGAACAACCTAGCATATTCTAAAAGTCGATCTAGTTGAACCGTTGGTTTTCAGTTCAACCGATTGAATTCATAAGATGATTTTATCATCTTAAAAGTTTCAAAAATATACCGACAAGTGCTGGTATAAGTGGTTGAGATTCATAAATTTAAGTTTGTAAGGTCAAACTCGAATCATACCACTATTACTCTTGATGGACAATCTGTAAATTCTTATGTAAATTCAAATTGAGTCCTAGGTATGCTCTGGCCTTGGGCGGGGAACTACCCTGACCTAAACTTTTACTTACTAAAAATATATATATTAATTAATAATAACTAACCAGAAAATATAAAAAGATCCCAAAAAAGGATAAGTCACACTAAAAGAAAATACAAGAATAAAAATGAAAGAAAAACATAATGAAGAAGTCAAATATTTTGTTAAAAGTCGATACTTAATAAAAAAAAAAGTCTGGTTTTGCCAGTTTTAACTAGTTTTTCTAGCTCTTGGTTTACAGCATTTATTGGCTCTTAATTTTTTTTATTCAACTTATATGGTTGAATCGCTAGACCAACTAGTTCTTGATTGAATTGGCTGATCCGGTCTGGATTTTACTACCTAAATGCTTTAATCATTTTTATGCAGATAGTGATGAAATGGCAATAAATTCAGTCTTACAAACTCTGAACATACCTGCTAGTAGTGCACAGTTAGTCCTGCAGGATATAAGAATTGATATGATTTTAGTAAATGATTTCCAAAATGAATCCCCAAGTTACAGAGAATAAAAATAATAGGGGAAGGAAAATCACCATAGCTCAGAGCTGCATGTTCGGGAACTAACCTGCAAGAATGTATATATCATTGTTATCTTGATTATTGAACTAAGCTATATACAAGTACATTGAAACCAATAGTTCTGACTCAGGAATTGCAAATCTGAAGTTATTTTGATACACCCTGGTGGCCCAATATAAGATGTATATTAACCATACTCGTCCTAATTTTTTGAAAATCCTAGTATGACTGTGTCCATGACGTACCCCATATTGTGTATCTTTGTCCGTGCATCCCAGATAAATGGTTGTAGAGTTCTCCTGTGCTCATGATGTAAAAGTTTATTTTCTCAGACTGAAAATGGTTGTAGAAGGGGAAAAATTTAAGAACAATAAGTTAAAAGGCCAATGAGTGTATGCGTGTGCGCGCGTTTTCCCCTATTCTTCTCTAGCTGAACATGCAATTTAATTGTGAGAATACAGTAATGTATACCTTTGGTAAGCAACTTTCATTAAATAACTTGGTCAAGTGAGTGCACACCAGAACCTCCAAAATACAAAAACAGCATGCCCCCAATAGTTTATTGATAACTATTATAGTAAACACAGCCAATCATTTAATAAGTTACTCAATTTCGCTTAAATTCTTTCATAACTTCATATAACCACCGTAAATGTTATGCTTCACCAAAATGAGCAGCCAAACAACAAATATACCTCCCTGATCTTGGAAATGAACAGGGTAGCGAATGCGAAAGCCTCTTGGAGCATGGTGCCGCTGTCCGTTTTCTTGTCTCGTTGTCTCCAAAAGATAATGCCATGGGAAAAGAAAATGGACACCGGCACCATGCTCCAAGAGGCTTATAAATACGTCCGATTCTTGCAAAATCTAGTCTCCAGTCTCCAATTGATGCCCATCACTTCCAGTTTCTCATTGGTTCAACATGTTAATACTAATGACTTTCTTGGATAGGGAAGTTTGAACCGGAAACATCTTTTGCGGGTCCTGATCAACTCCCCCGTGGCGTAGACCATGCTTTGTTCACAGGATTTTTTTCACATTTTTGCTTATTAACAGTTGGTTTCTTTCACAAGGCCAAGGAGAGGAAAATGGTGCTCCAACAGTAACTACCTTTTTACCATGTATTTCAGGTCATTTGCAGAATACATAAGAACCTAAAAAAATTATGTGAATTTTTTTATTTTTAATTGTCACGTAACACTTTTATTAAGGATTAATCAGAATTCAGGTTGTGGAACTTAAATCGAACAACCGATAACGTAAGATATCAATCACTTAATTTTTGAATCGATATTCAAAATCGGTCAGATCTAAAACAAAGGGAATACTCCTATAGTTATCCTTAAAACAAATTTGAGTGAAATGCAACTCGAGCATTCTGCTGTTTAATGTTTATGCTGAATTGAATCAGAGGACTTAAATTTAATTTTGGTTCATCCTGCTTGTGAAATACATTCGAAGGTCGTAAACCATATGCAGAATATTCATTGTCGTTTCTTTCATCGAAAGTTTGGATCTTTTTCAGCAGAGTGCTAAACTCGATCTTCCTCCCCAGCAATTTGATGGTAATTGATTTCAGGTCCTTCATTCCATCAGTCTGGGGAAAATTGTATGGAGGGTGCCCCATTATCTAATTCAAAATCATCGTCATCGATAGCGTCACTAGATTTGTCCTGTCCCTGTTTGGGGTTTTTCTTTAATGGACATTTTGACTTCGGGCGGCTTGTTAGGGTTGTCGCTAGTGGCCAGAGAGGAATACATACCTACCCATCTTCTTCATAAAAACTGATTGGTTGATTCTACTCTTTCAACTCCAACAACGTTAAAATCTGTTAAAAATCTGTCTGAACGACATGGCCAAAACACCCATCAAATACTATGTGGTAATTCCTGTTTCTTTCTTTTCTCTGCTTGTGTATTTATATGCCTCAACTCAATTTTTAGCTCGAAAGAGTGAGTCGGGTTGACTCACAAGTGGGTTTGAATCTTTGGGTCTTGAACAGGTTGACGCGTTCACCGACTCGGCCTTCAAGGGAAACCCAGCAGCGGTTTGTTTGTTGGAGGAAGAGAGAGATGATGAATGGCTGCAAGCCGTTGCTGCTGAGTTTAATGCCTCCCAGACTGCTTACTTGACTCGGATCACCAACTCAGCCTCTCCAAACCCCAGGTTTCGTCTTAGATGGTTCACCCCAGTAGCTGAGGTAAGCTTCATATACTAAATGCCGTGGTCAATAGCAGCTATTTAAACTGCGGTTGCGGCTGATTTTTCGATTGTGTTGTTTTTGTTGTGATTGCGGACATAACTAATGTTATTGTAGTCATTAAAAGTATTAGAAATAACAGTTTAAAACGGCACTGTAAACGCTATATAAAGGCAGCTATTATGAAAATTTATCATTATTTAAATCCTGATCAATAGCTAATTCAATAGCTCAATAAGAATGGAATTTGGGCACAATGACTAATAGCAACTTGGATAGTAATATTGTTCCTCTTTGGCAGGTTAGGCTATGTGGTCATGCAACCTTAGCATCTGCTCACACACTCTTCTCAACTGGTTTAGTAAATTCAGACATAATCGAATTCGATACACTATCTGGAATCCTAACTGCTAAAAGGGTTCCAGATGCTAATCCGATCAATGTCTCCAAGATTCAGAACGGGGAAATTAATCACGGCTTTCTGGTTGAGCTGAATTTTCCTATGGTTCCTGTCACCCACTTCAACTCTGCCGAGATTTCAGTTATTTCAAAAGCCGTGAATGGTGCCCCTCTGATTGAAATCAAGAGAACGACTACCGCGGATGATATCTTTGTAATTCCTCACTAATCTAGTGATTTTTCATTTCCAGATTTTTTATTTTCGTCTGTCAGATCAGGTTCATTAGCATCCCTGATGTCAATTGACGATTTGGAAGCAGTACACAAAGATATGGTGTTACTGATAGTCTTTGATCTCTTTTCCTGAATGGACTACTGATTTGCAGGTTGTGCTCCCATCTGGAAAATCTGTCATTGAAATGGAGCCACGGTTCGACGACATCTTGAAATGCCCTGGACGAGGCCTAATTGTTTCAGGGGTTGCTCCTCCAGATTCTGAATTCGATTTTATTAGTCGGTTCTTCTGTCCTAAATTAAGTATATATGAGGTGAGACATAGTCTTTAAACACTTCAAGCAGTTAGTTTGCTTAGTCTAACCATTGCTGCATGCCCTTTGTTGAGAATCAAACGGATCAAGTTTTTCTTCTGTAGCTGATGAGTACTATGCCAAGAACAAGTAGTGAAGATTATTACATGCAAAACTAGACAGAATAAACTGATGGAAACACTATAAATAATGAGATACATACATTATACATATATGAAAAAGGCATCCATAGCTCGCCTCAAAGATATTCATCACCGGATTGTACAGGTGCAGGCCTGCTAATGTCACTTTCTCATGCCTATCAGGATCCAGTTTGCGGGAGTGCACACTGTGCCTTGGCACCCTATTGGAGCCAAAAGCTGGGAAAGTTTGATTTGGTTGCACATGCGGTATATCTCTCCCTTTCTTTACCTTCGATTTCATTCGATGAAACCATTATCGATATCACTTATCGTATCGGTTGTGTTGTTTACTTCGCTCCTCAGGCATCACCTAGAGGTGGAATAGTTAAGATCCATGTAGACGAGCAAAATCACAGAGTGCTTCTGCGAGGAAAAGCTGTTACTGTGATGGAAGGGTCTATTTTGGTCTAAGATTTGGAGTTTAAACTCTGTCCTGGATGTATGCATGGTGAATTGCAGATTATGATTGTTTTTGGGAGCAAACAATGCCCTGCAGTTTTAATTTTTGACTTTTTAGTCATGGTTTAATGGGGTTTCTTTTTTCATTTTGAAAGCTCTTGCAATAATTGTATTAACAAGTGGTGGAACACTGATAATACATATGGTATTGTGTAGTCTAGGAGAGTATCTAGATTCAAATATTAAAATTGATAGGCTTAATTTTAACAAGGCCCTAGCGTTTGAATAAACGATTACTTTGGTTCCTATTCCTTTTCTCTTTTTTTTTTTTTTTTTGAGCATTTTGATCCTAACATTTTATTTTGGACAAAAAGATTTCTTTATAGATTATTAGTTAACAAATAGTTAATGCTATAAAATATGAGTCTTTTTACCCTAAAATGAAATGTTAATCGATAAAAAAACCATTATCAATATATATATTGAATTTGCAAGATAATATTTGTTTTAAAAAATTTAATCAATTTGATAATTTAAGTATACATCATCTGCAAACGCAGTTGCTCGTTGTTCGAACTCAAGATCTCTAAAGAGTATAACATTCTTTTTTATCACTGTATCACTTGATGTAATCATATATATATATATATATATATATATATATATATATATATATATATATATATATATATAATTCATATTTAATTCATTAATGAAAGCCGATCCTTAGAGGTAGGGCTGTAAATGAGACGAGACAGATCGCAAGCTACTCGAGATCGACTCGGTCAAGGCTACTCGGATCGAATTGACTCGAGTCGAGCTCGAACTCAACTCGAATTCTTAACGATCCAAAACGAGCTACTTGATACTCGACTCGAAAAGCTCGTGAGCAGCTCGAAAATATAATATATTAAGATTTTATTTTTTTTAAAAATAAATTATTATTAATATTAACATTTATGTGTTGATTGTTTTTAAAAAATACAATAAGGTTTTTATGTATTTAAGGTTCATATTCGAGTTTGAGTTTGAGATTTCAATCTAGTTAAGTTTAAGATTTTTTTTCATTTCGAGCTTTTTCGAGCTGCTCACGAGCTTCAGTTCAGGATTTCGAGTTCGAGTCGACCTTAAAAATTTTAAGCTCGCAAGTTTTCGAGTCGAGTCGAGCTCCATTTCAGAGTTTTCGAATCGAGTCGAGCTCAGCAATACTCGAGTTCGACTTGGTTCGTTTACACCCCTACTTAGAGGACTCTAGGAAGCCTCAAAGCTTTGAAAGTACATAGTTCACAAATAGGTTGTTAATTTAGTATCACTTTAAAATAAATGTATATTTATGTTGGTACACCTCATTTTTTTTAATACTCTTTTTCAAAATTGATTTTAGGTTTGAGAATTTATTTTTTGAACATTGATTACTTTTCAAAAATCGGAGTTGACTTTAATTGTTTGTGTTAAATATGATCGAATACTTATAAAATAATTACTTTATATGAAAATAGACTTTTTTGAGAATCTATTTTTAAATCTAGAGTCTAAATTACATTCAAGTGTCAATTATACGTGAGAAAAGTTTTAACATATTTGCGAATCCCAGAAAGTTGATACCTTATTAGAAAACATATATCGTCTTACTTTTTAGAAGTTATAAATATGAATTTAAATTAAACTTCTGATCCCTTGAATGAAATATGAATACAAATTAAGTTAATAAAGTGATTTCAATGGTAATAAGGGATGTTGTTATTCTTAGAAGTCATCGGTTCGAGCAGTTGGTTTGTAGGGTATGTAGCATTATAAATTGATTAAGAAAATTTTGAACAGATACTACCTTGTAATTATCACAGACTTAAATGCACCCTTGCCCCCTAAACTATATCATTTTTATCGAGTTGTCCCTTAAAGTATTTTTCAGGACGTTTTGCCCTCTAAAGTATAAACCATTACCTCTGTCGAAACGGTCTTTTACCCGGTGGGGGAAAAGGGGTGGTCCTGCTTCGAAAATGAATTTTGAGTGATAAATTTGTGATAAAACGTGGTTCGTAAAGTTGCCACCAATATTTGATTAGGGTGTGATTGGGCACCCAAAAATAAATTTTTCATTTTAATAAAATATTAGTTTTAATTAAAAATATAAACTTGGGGTATGCGTTACTAAAATTTGAGTTCGGGAGTTGGTTACATGTGAGGAAGGATTAACACCCCCACAACGCCCTAAATCGGTACCTAGTCGATTGATTAATTGTCTTTGCAAAAAAATGTACAAGTTCGAGTCTAATTTAATTTAAGATCCCCTAAAATAATGTTCTTTGAAATTTTAGATGAAAGATAATAATATTTAATTATTTCCTATCGAGAAGAACCGATCTATCATACCTTGAAGCAATCGATTCTTAGCAATCGATTCTTACTCCAATCGAAATAAAAAAATATTAAAATTTCATTATAAATTTCAAAATAATAACACTCAAAATAATTTTAAGAGTGAAAACAATAATATTTAATTATTTCGGATCGAACATTTTGAAAATCCTTTGAAAACACATGCAAAAGTCAAATAAATAAATAAATAAATAACATATCAAACAATTGATTAATTATTTATTTTACCAATATTTAATGAGAATAAGGATATTCAATTAATTGAATATCGTGAGACGAGACCATAGATTCGATCTAACAGTCTTTTCTCGATGAATTTAATTAAAATGATACAATCTTTTTCTCAAACCTTGAATTTTAAAAATAGATTCGATTTAATTGGTGTTACTTAACGGGATAGACTTTCGTTTTAAAATTATCGAAAGTAACTTTCTTATACGTTAAGACAGTTACTTTACGACAATATTAAAATGCTCGAATATTACCCTTAATCAATTTATTTATTCGAGTCAAGTGATGCTGATGAGGATATCATACATGATTAATTAGGACTAAAATGAATTAAAATGCAATCAACATGCAAAAATCAAAATAAGTATAAATTATAGGATAAAAAATTAAATTATTAAACTATCATGCCAAAATTGAATTAACATGAAAAAATATAAGGGACTAAAATAAACAAATTCAAAATTAAAAGTTAAAATTATAAATGATGGCAATAAATAAAACATAGGGATTAAAATAAAATATAATAAAATTACAGTACTGAAATAAAATAAATAAAACTTAACATAGTGCTTGAAATATAAATATATATAAACAGGGGGTTGTAAATAAATTAAACCAGAAATAATAATCAGGCCTAAAAATGGAAAATTAAAAAAAAGTCCCTCCTGGGACTAACATGCAAAACACGGTTAAAGTTTGGAGGACTGAACTGATATTTTACCAAGATAAATATAACTACACGTAAAATGGCTAAATTTCAAAAACAATCCCTACAGGTGACTGTTTTGTAAAACACGCGAAAAGTTAGAGGGATTTATGTTGTAGTTTTACCCTTAATTTCATCTATATATACCGCCAATTTTATTTTTTTTTCTTCTCATTTGAGCGTTTTTAGGCGGGAAAAAAGAGAGAGAGGAGAGATATCCTCTCCCCGCGTGGCTCGGCCGGCCCACTGCTGGCCACCACTTGTCGTCGTTCGGCTGCCATTCCGGCCGCCGCATATGGTGGCTGGAGTCCCCAAAATTACCCAAATCACTCTCTAGGCTTAGATCTACCCCCTAGGTAGTTATTCTAGGCTAAAAATAACCTAAACGACCCTAAATAACCCTAAATCGAGCCACAACCATGCGACTTCTCAGACCTCCGACCACCATGAACTGACCTCGATTTAGGTAAGTTTCTTCCTCTTTTAACTTCTTTTTTTCTCTTTATTTTACATGCAAGAACTTGTTTTATTTTTATTTATTTTTTGTTTTGATTTCCTTCGAGTATAAACCAAATATATGTAAAAATAAATAAATGCGAAATACCTCTCAAATATGCAGGTTTTATTGATTTATTTTTGTGATTCGAACCTCTATTACATTGTTGCTAAGGGATTTATACCCGTTTTACAGCCTAAAAATAGTATATTTCTTGATTGGTGCATATTTCGTGTTTTACAGGTTTGATAATGATTTTTCAAATGAAATGGCCGGTTGTGGTTGGCTTCCATGGCGGTGGCTTCCTACTGGTAAAGATGGTCGGTTGGTGGTATGGGAGTGGCCAACATGCATGCGTGATCTGGACCGTTGGATGGGTTCATATGTAACGGATGGCTTCAAGTGGTGGCTGGGACTTGTGAAACCCTAAACAAGTTTAAAGTTCTCTCTTGATCCTCTATCCGTTATGGGCCCAAATTCTTATAATCTGTAAAAAAACAAATAATAATAATAAATAATAATAATAATAATATTATAATAATAATAATAATATAATAATAATAATAATAATATGACAGAAAAACGAGTGTCGACAGTTGCCCTTCTTTGTCATATTCTTGTGTCAACAAGAATAGGGCAAAGACGAAGAGACAATGCGTTTTTTGTCAACTTCAAGGTTTGCAAAATGATAAGGGATTTGTTCCTCTGGCACTCAGGGAATATCATATCTGAGGACGTTAATCTATTCCACTATTCTTCAGGCAAGATTGAATCAGGGTAGACTTATTCCGCTGGCTCTGAAGGGAATATCAAATCTGGAGGAGAGAGTTATGTTCTACTTCTTCTGAAGGGAATATCAGATCTGGAAAAGAGAGACATGTTTTGCTTGCTCTGAAGGGAATATCAGATCTAAAGGATTTATGCATCATGCTAAGAAGACTTACTGATGACCCGAATGATTTATGCATCATGCTCAGAAGACTTACTGATGACCCGAAGGATTTATGAATCATGCTCGGAAGACTTATAAATTTTAGATATAATTTACTAGGTAATAAACCTTTCTTACTTTTCAACAATTTCAATTTCAGATATAAATGAGAAACCTTTCTCATTTCATGATAGATATTTGAAAACATCCTGCCAAAGGTCTTATGAATGGCCCAAATGACTTATCATCTTTCTCGAAAAACTTACAGATGACCCGAAGGATTTATGCATCATGCTCAGAAGACTTACTGATGACCCGAAGGATTTATACATCATACTCGGAAGACTTACTGATGGCCCGAAGGACTTGTAAATTTTGGAAATAGTTTACTAGGTA